GATATATATATATATATATATATATATATATATATATATATATATATAATAAAAAAACGTTTTTTTAAACATATTGTGCAAAATATGAAATTCTATTCAAGATTTTCCTATTTAATAAATAGTTTAGGCATATTCATCAAAACAGATCGTTTTCTGGCCAGAGAATAAGGGTGGATGACACCTTCAATCCTACACACGCTAGTTATTATCCGTAAAGCATATATGTGTGTATATATCTATGTCTTTGCATACGGAGATACAAGACAAACCCAAAAGACAGTATCTATCCGAGGCACAAACTATCTTGAGAGAAGAAACTTGGGCTTATCTCATATAGGGTACCTAGTGGCATTCCGTCTACTTGAGTAAGGTATAAGTGTGTCAATTCTAACACGAATGGTTGTAACCAATACGGGTTACTATTTCTTCCAGCAAATTGCCACCATGTATTCGATGTGACGTTCGACATTTTTTAGTTCTACAATGGCTAGCCATATCACTCAACTCATCGTATTATTACTACGACTATTTATTACCTAGCTAGACTTTGTTATATTCGACGGCTGAAGGTCACACATGTGCGCATTCCCTGCTATCTATCTGCCGAAATCATTCTAGCCGAATCATATCAAAGTGCGTAAAGCCGTTTATGGCCGACTACAAATACTCAGAGAATTCCCCGCACGGGAAGCTGACGACGCTTCGTCCTGCACATAGCACACCTGATCGTTGGCCGTCGATCCAAAATTACGTACGGTAGTATACGATGATCCACTATTTATCTGTCTGGATGCCTGCCTAGCGATTATGCTCGCCAGTCAGTACCACGAGATGATGAGGTGAGCATTGTGATGGCAAACGCTCGATTTGTTTCACTGGCCAGTCTGCGTCAGCGGCAACAGCAAACAAATAGCAGTGGCTACCATACACCTATTGAACGCCGGAAGGGCTATCTATGACCTCTATATTGACTCGAACAACCAATGTATCTGCCCTTCGATTTTTGTACCATTGGCCTACAATTTGAGAACCACTCCACAGCAGCAGCAGCAGGGCGAGGAGTTGACGATCGAGGCTACGTTTGCGGAGTTAGTCTTAGCACTGCCACAAACGATAACAACAGCAACAGAAACTACAGCTACGTACCGAAAGAAGAAATCGAATGCCTTCGTTATCTTTTTTTTTTTATGAAGAAAAAGCTTTCTTGGAGATGTTCGTTCCCTTTCTCTTTTTTCCTCGTTTTCACGATCTTCACCGTTAGCTTTAGATTCAGCTCGCTTCAGGTCTTCTTAGTCTTCATTTTTGCAGTTGTTTTCTCGCGCCCTGGCGGCCAAAGCAGAAGCCGCAGCGGCGCTTAGATCATCGTCAGCCATTCTTGCTATTCTCTGTGAATTATTATAATTTATCATTCGGTGAACTAAAGCGAACCAAACCGGACCGCTGGGACTGGGTCATATATCTTGGGCCATTAGCTCCATTTACTGGAGACGCTGGCAGCAGTTTTAGCGGTGGCGGGCGCTGGTGGCTCTGGTGCGCGAGCAGTAGAAACGGAGCTACAACATAGCAATCACAAACACCAAAGTAAACGCTGCTGCCACAGCGGCCGAAGCCATGGTTGCCCCACATCCACTGGCGACATCACCAGGTATCTTAGAAGCTCTCAACAGCTTTCTACTAGACGGATGATTCCGGTAGGTTGTACCACAACATGAAGAGCTGCTGCTGCTGCTGCCACCCTAGAATCGGCGAGCGAGGATACGAGAAAGCACAAGAAGGAATTGCTGATGCTAATGCTTACGACGACGCTGCTGATGACAATGAAGTGCCGGACAATGTATGTGAATACGTGTGTGTGTAAAACTTTGATCAAAGTAAGTGTTCTTTAAAAAAGCCAACTGTCGTGTACAGGGTGGGTGAAAGTAGGAGGCAACGGTGTAACAGAACGTCCCATAAGTCGAATTGCTTTCTGTATTACTCTATATATGTGCGTATTGTTTATCAAAGTCTATGTATCTATAGTTAGGACGTTTTGCGCGTTATTTGAG